ATAATCAAAGGAGGTAAAAGATGGGCTGAGAATTAATGACACTGACTGTGTGTGGCTCCGTGTGTCCTCTCTAAGCTTATCATTACAAGTCACACTTTGGGTACAGCCGACTGCTCATGACACTGGCCAAGTAAAGGGAACGACAGTGGCCCACTGCACAAGGGAGACATGTTCATTCCACCAGATTCATGTGGCCGTGGACACAGTTACCTTCTAAGACCTGTAACTTCATTAACAAACGATAATGCATACAGACACTTAAAGGTTTGCTGTTCCCTCTCCCTTTTAAAAATAGAATATCTCCACATCTTTCCTTCCCAAAGCTTCTCATTCAGGGGAATAAGTCTAGAATCGCTTCAGTGAAAGAAACTCAATGAAACTTTGATTTACATTTACCAAAAACTAAACTTTAATTGGTTTCAACGTGAAAATGTCAGCAAACCGCCTAAGCAAGTGTTTCTTTCTTCTTCTTTTCAGGTCTCTCTCTCTTTTCTTTAAGCAAGTGTTTCTTACTGACCTTTTTGAGGACACAAGCTTTTGTAACATCATAAAAGATGCTGTGGGGCAGACAGTTTCCAGTGGCTCACAGGCCACCAGAAGCATCTGCCCCGCCCAGCTTAAAATGCCTGCAGTCAGAGTTTCCTATTTCAGAACAGCGTCTCTGTCTGGTGTTTGCACTTACTCCTGTTAATGAATAAAGAAAGGCTTTTGTGTGCATTTCTGGGGAATCCACTCATTTAATAATAAACCTTCTATGCCAAGTGGAGAAAACAGGGTATTTTAAGAAAATCAACATAAAATTATTTCACTCTAGTTATTTTTGATGAAGCATATTTAATCAAAGTATATATTGCTTCAAGTAATTTGATCATTTGAAATAATGCTTTTTAAAAATTGGACTTAAAAAATAAAAAGTACGTTAACATCATGCTCTTTGCTGCACAGGACTGGTTATCTAATCCAACAAAATTCTATTTATGTGCAAGGGCTTAGGATAAAATACTCAAAGTAATTAACTGGAGGTTAAATATTATGAAGGGAAGTAGGACTTATCACAGAAAAAAACCACACAGAAAATCAAATACATTGTTACTTACAATGAGCTGTTTCAATCCAACAAAAGACTGTTCTACCGAGTTGGCGTTTAAGACCTGTCTCTTTGCTGCAGCTTTTTCACCCAGGAAGCGAAGCATTAAGTCTTTAACCGCATCTCCCTTGAAAGAATATAAGAAAAACATGTCAGGACAATAAAATGTTAATTAAACTCAGCTAACCAGAACCCATAGCTATAACCAAAATTTCCTTTTTCTCCATTGGTGTATGGAGGTCAAAATGTGGTTATAGCACAGTCAAACTTCAATAAACCAGATGCTAAGGTATCACGATCTTTAATAAAATGTGCAGTTTAGAACGGCTCTTTCTGTTGGAGAGGAAGCAGTGAATCACCAGCGCCTGTACCAGGCTTATGTAAGGGGCACAGCAAGCCAGGCGGGGGGCCGGAGGCGCGGGGCATGGGGGGCGTGAGCGACACCGCCCCTAGGAGAAGCGGAGTGCACGGTGGGACCCAGGCTGGGGCGGGCAGGCCTGAGCGCCCTCTGCCCGCATCCCGCCAAGCTGCCGGCCGGCCTGGGCCCCCGGGAGCCCCTAGGGCCTGGCTAGAGTAGTTAGTGGTGGCCCAGGGCACTGCCTTCCGCCCAGGGCTGCGTCTCTCCCGAGCCCAAGGAGAGCAGGGGTCCCTCCCTCTGCCGGCCGCTCGGGGAGCGGGCTGCTCCGGAAAGGCCCCCATCAGCCTCCACACAGGGGCTCTCTCAGCCCTAGCCTCGGGTTAGATCTGCCTGCACCTGGGCTGAGTGACCGTACGGCGGACAGACGGGCGAGGCTGGGGAAGAGGGACCATCCATGGCCAAGTGACCCAGGAGGAACCTGGGAGGAGCCAGGACGGAGGCCCAGGTGCTCAGAGACCAAGCCGCACGTCTTACACAGGGGCAGAGATCGAGAAGCTGCAGTTCTATGATTTTTCTGCTTTCAGAGGGTAAGGTGAAATACTTCAGGTGCCAGAACCACAGAAGTGGCTAACTGATCTAGGAGGGATAATTAAAGGGTGGAATATAAAGAACTCAGCCATATGGCTCCATAAAGCTTTGCACAAATGTAACTCCTATCAGACAAGGAGCTTTATCTGAGCCAGAGGAACTGCAAACCAGGAAAGGGCAAAATCACATCTTAATGCCGCCGAGGGAAGAGACCCATCTAACTTCTCCATCCTTGCAACCTTCTCAGCTAATAGGACCACACTGCGAAAATCTCCTGCCCTTTAAAATTCTGTTAGTTAACACCTGAGTTAGCAGGGAAGTTCCTGAGACATGAGCGTACGTAGAACTGACAATCACCTCACCTCTGAAAGCCCAAAGACGCGACCAAATGCCCTAACATGGACCGGCTCTCGCCGTGTCACTGAGCTGAAGGCAGTTCTGACACGGGGGTCACGGCGCCTTTGCCGCAGAGCCTCCACGCTCACTGGAGCAAGGGGAGCAAGCTTCCTCCGCAGGATGTCTTGTGAGCGATGCGGGGTGGGATCCACCGAGAACCCCAGGGACCCCTTCCAATCAGCAAACCTCCAGGGGAGGGCACCCAGGGCAGGGGAGCGTGGGGAGGCAGCGTGAACGAGTCAGGTGCTGGATCTCAGCTTGCAGAGGGCCTCCCCTCCTGCAGCGTGGGAACGGCTTCAGCAGTGCCTTCTAAGTTTTAATGGATGAAGTCAAAGCAAAACGCAAAGCAGCTGACTCCCAGAGCACGGGCCTCGGGCTTTACTGTCAGGAAGCCTGACGACACACGCGGTCACAGGCAGTGGTGCTGAAAGGACAGTGGCCCGGCCTTGCCCGGCGCTCTGCCTGGGCACCAGCGAGAAACATGGCTGCCCCTCCCGGGAGGGCTCTGTCCTCTCAGTCCCGGGGGAGTGAAACCGCCCAAAAAGATGACATCCCAACAAACAGAAACAAAACAAACTCCAAACTCGAGGTTGTGGAGACATCGGAACCCACATATGTCGCTGGTGGAATGTAAGACGGTGCAGCCGCTTTGGAAGACAGCTGGGATGTTCCTCAAAATGTTAACCGCAGGTTTACTATGTAACCCAGCAGTCAGTGGACCCGCACAGTTCAAACAGTGTCGTTCAAGGTCAACCATATTTGACAACAGAGAGGAATGGTGCACTGACACATGCTACAATTCGGATGACCCTTGAACATGTTTCAATGAAAGAAGCCAGTCATGACAGACCACATGTCGTGTGATTCATTTGTATGAAGTGTCCAGAAGAGGAGAATCCAGAGAGATGGAAAGCAGGTCAGTGGTTGCCTGGAGCTGGGGTGGGGTGAAGGGATGGGAACTGAAAACAAAAAGGTCTGGGGCTTCCTTCTGGGGTGATGAAAATGTTCCACAAATTGACTGTGGTGATGGCTGCACAACTCTGTCAAAAATGCTAAAAACCACTGAATTGTAAATTAGATGTGTGAATTATATGGTATGTGAATTGTATCTTAATTAAGCTGTAAAAACAAGAACAGATCTAAACCCCTTTCGCAGGGGGCCCTAAACAAATCGGTATTTAAGGGAAGCTGTTCACTGATAACGTCAGCTTTAGGACGGTTGCAAAACGGCTTGCACCAGCCACTCCAGACCTTCCCTATCTCACACACACGTTCAACGTAGGTCAGCATCCTTCACAGCAGGAACCTAAGAAAGGGGAGCCAGGCCCACCTGTGAATGTGGCGAACAAACGCAGCGGCAGCAACTTCTCCTTCTGTCCATCACAGTGACCCAGCCTGGGCTTACTGCCCTAACGTAAGCAACTAGAACATGGAAAACACAGACACAACAAGTGTCTTCCGACACAGAGACGGATGTGATCTGAGACAAGGGAGACGAGGAGTTGAGCTCTTGAACCCAAAGGCAGCTGTGGGCGCAGTGGTGCGGGGGGCACACCGAGCACAGGGAACTTGCCGAGCAGGACTGGCTGGGAGCTGGAGGGCAGCTGGCCGGACCTGGCAGTCAGAGCACCAGACAGGACGGAACCGTACAAAGAGCAGGGCTGGAAAGCCGTGTGGGCCCGCGAAGGTACCGCTGAGTGGTAAACGGTGCGTGCGAAGGGTGGATGCTCTGAGGACGCGGAGCCGGGACAGACAGCTGTGACTTCACTCGGGGCTGAGATGTCCAGTCCAGGCCGACCGCTGCAGAGCGCTCTGACACACAGGCACTCGGTACAGGCGTCAGAAAGGTCACCCAAGTATGCAAGCTACTCTAAACTCACCCTGAGAAGCTAAAAAATAAACCTGAAAAGGATCAAATGAATCTGCTGGCCAGAACAAAATACAAGTCTTTTTGAAGGAAGATGACAAAATATAGACACTCAACATTAGGAAATCCACAATATCCACCCTCTGATAAAAAAATCACTAGACGTGTGAAAACACAGGCACACGTGACTCATGACCAAAAGAAAAAGTAAATACAAATGGACTCTGAAATTACAGAACTGATGGAATTTTCAGAATAGAACTGTGCATGAGCTATTATAAATGTGCTCAAAGATCGAACGTAAAACTTGAACAGAATGAGGAGAGAAAAATATATAGAAAGGAACTAAATGGAAATTATAGAGACAAAAAATACGAAAAATTTACTGACTAGCATCAGCTGCAAACTACAAAGTGAAGAAGGAAAGATGAACAAACTGACGGACAGAATGACAGAATCCCAAACTTAAGTACAAAGGGTAAATAATTGAAAACAGAAACAGACCTTTAATGACCTCATTAGTAATATCAAGTAATGTGTGAAACTGGAGTTCCCAGAAGCAGAGGAGAGAGAGTGAAAAACAGAAGAGCTAACTGAAGAAGTAATGACCAAAAATGTTCCAAAACTGATGAAAATAATAAAGCCACAAATCCAACAGGGTGAATGAAACCTAAGCAAGATAAACATAAAAGAAAACCATGAGAAGGCACATCAGAATCAAACTGTTGAAAACCAGTGATAAAATCTTAAAACCAACCAGAGGAAAATATATACACTAGGTACAGAAGAGCAAAGGTAAAAATTACTACAGACTTCAATCAGCAACGATACCAACTGGAAGACCATGGAAGGACACCTTCAAAGTGCTGAAAGGATTAAAGCTGAGTCAACCTCCAAGTCTACGTGTTGTAAACACACTGCATTTCCAGCAAAAAGAGCTTTGATAATGAAGATGAAATTTCTTCAGACTTAAAGGGGAGAGAATTCGTAGCTAGCAGACCTGCAGGAACAGTTACATCTTTGGCCACCTGTAGGTTTCCAACACAGGGACTTAGCATGGCCCAGGAAAGGGGTTTTCACAAACTGTGGGCTTCCCTGATGGGATTCCCGTCAAATCCAAATTGCAGGAAGGGCGAGGGGAAGGAAAGAATCAGACGGGGTGGTGGAAAGGCCCAGCCTCAAGTCTGGACGTTGGGTTTCCAGATCCACCAGCAAGACCACAGCATTCTGAGTCCCCACCCTACTATCTTCCCTTCACGATCTTACTACCTTTACCACTGACATTCTGCTGCTTCTAGTTTACTTATCTCTTCTGTCTCTCTCCCTCTCCCTCCTTTACTCCCCCCCCTCCTTACTGAACAAGCTTCATACAAATATTCTCCAACTTCCATTCTTCACTGGTTCTGAAAATTTCTGAACGATCATTTCCCCACAAACTTTCCATTTATCTCTTTAAGGACACAGGCCATCTAAGACTCTAATTAGTTAAAAATGCCGACATTCCTCTTTTGATGCTATGTGGTTGGATGAAGTGTTACACGCTCACCTTCATGGCCTCTAACTTAACTCAAACTGCCATAGAAGTCACTTCATAAGGAAACAATTTTTCCCCCCAAATTTTATCCCATAGGAAGGAATTTTTTTTTTTTTTTTTTTTTTTTTTTTTGGTTGTAATTGTTATATCTTCTTCTTGGATTGATCCCTTGATCATTATGTAGTGTTCTTCCTTGTCCCTTGTAACATTATTTTATTTTATTTTATTTTATTTATTTATTTTTTTTGTGGCACGCGAGCCTCTCATTGCTGAGGCCCCTCCCGCAGGCTCAGCGGCCATGGCTCACGGGCCCAGCCGCTTCGCGGCATATGGGATCTTCCCAGACCGGGGCACGAACCCGCGTCCCCCGTATCAGCGGGCGGACCCTCAACCACTGCGCCACCAGGGAAGCCCAGGAAGGAATTTTTAACTAGGCACCAATAGGTGAGCAATTTGGAGACATTTCGAGGTGTTTTAGAAAGCTGACTTCGAACAATGCTGCAACAGCTACAGTGGCACAGGGAGAAACTTGTGAACAGGTAAATCCAACAAATGCTTGGTTGACCTCTTACAAGCTTGGTGTGCACAGTGAGTTAATAGATGTGTTCTACCCCGATCTTAAGTCCTCTGGCAAATAAACACAGCATTTCCAAGGTAAACCACACAGTTTTTCTTTTCTATCCTGGGAATGAAAAGTTCTTTGAAGGACAGTATACAACTGAAGAGACACAGGTGAAGAAACAACCAGCACACTTGTTCTATGGGAAAGTCAAAGACATTTTAGGAACTATTCTTAATTCATATTTCAGTTTACCATGAGGTTTCCAAAACAATCACTGTGAATTGCAAGAGGTATGGAAGACATTGCCTTAGGATTTAAAGGAAGCAGAAAGGAAACACACTGTCTCCTGGCTGGCCGCTAGTGTGGGTCCTGCCCATGCAGTGGGCGCCCCGACCCTGGCTGATTCACCCAATGCCCTGCTTATTTCACAATTAGCCACCTGGAAGCTTCAAAGCTGCAGAGGAGCTATCACAGAACCCATGCTTTTTCACTGGTAGAAAGGGCCTCCATGCCTGATTCAATCTGGGTTAAACTAGGAACGAACATCAGCACTTTGTGTTCCCCAACTCAAGAACGACCAACATGCTTTACTGCAGAAGACTACCCAGCCACCCCGGGGCATTCAGCATCCCCCGCCCTGTCCATGAAAGGTCATGTGCTCAGCCCAGCCCTTTAGGCAACCACAGTGGAATACCTCTACATGGTTCTAAATGCACCCTAGGAGCCCTGGGTCTCAGCACCCTGTTGGGAACCACTGGGTTAAGTCATCAAATCCTGAACATCAAATATCCCTGAAATCAGAGTCCATAACTGTGATTCACTGAAAAGACCCTGTGAAGGTAAGTTCATGTTCAGTACATTCTGCTTGAGAGGGTGGAGAAGGGGGCTGAGGACAGTGCCTGGTGGGCAGCAAGCCCACAAGCAAGATGCGCTTAGTGAGCAAATACGCTGTAGAGACGGACACGCAAAATATCTGGAACCTGCAGGCTTTCACTGAAAAAAAGACAACTGGCCTCACTTCTCCAGCAGCCACTGCATTTCTTACGGGATTCGGCCTCACGGGGCTCAGGGCTCCACTGCCTGCACCGGGCTTTCTGACCCTGCCGAGTGTGTGGGAAGGGGGACTCCTTCCCCCGGGAGGGCCTGCTGAGGACCGCAGGGTCCTCCTTCAGTTCCCAGAGGAGAGACCCACGCAGGACCTCGTGTGGCACAGACACTGCTGATCCCACCTGCAACGCGGGCGGGACAAACTACACCTGACATGCAACTGAGCTAACCTCATGTGGACGTACACACATACCTACAAAAACATTATCACGTAAGGCAGGCTACATGCCATCTTATAAAATACGAACCTCATTAAGTATTTTGCTATAACATCATTTTTCTTTTTTCTTTTTTTCACGATAAATATATTTATTTCAATATAACATCATTTTTAATACCTACGTAAATATTCCACTGAAAAAACAAGATGTGTCAAATGTATTCAACCGGCCTTCTGATAATGGACTTTCAGATGGTTTCAGGTTCTTTGCAATTATAAACCTCACTCTGATGGGCAGCCCAAAAGCTGGGTATTTGTACATCAGTGAGATTATTTCCTTACAAATAATTCCTAAGGGTGGGATTTCTGGGTCAAAGGATATGCGCATTTGGACGTGCGTTTTACAACTTTACTTAAGAAAGTTTGTACCAAATTATCAGTCCCACCAGGGCTGCTTAAGCAGGCTATTTTCTCACATTCTAACAAACATGGAATAATTATAAATAACTTAGACAACAGAAAACGAAAATAACTTTATCACCTTTGACTACTGGTAAGATTGACCTTTTTAATGTTGCTATTTACTGTATGTAATATTTCTATATTTTTATGATTTATTATTGAGGGGCCGTTCGTATTTTTTTTTTTTACCGAATCTATGAGAACTCTTTCCACATCAAGCACATTGTATGTATTTTTGCAGGTATAGTTTTTTCCATATCTAAAAAGAGGCACATGGGGATTTATCGTTTACTAGAGCTCAGATGTCATAAATAAACTGATCACGCGAAGTTTAGAGATACTTCAGAGAACTGTGATGCAAATACCTTGTTGGTACTTATTTCTAAGACTCTGATTAGTACCTAAACCACATTATGTCAGAGAAATCAGCAGGGTTCCAAACTACCTAGTGACATCATAAAGATTCCCGCAATCAGAATCTTTGGAACTGCTGAAAAATAAGGGTTTTTCAATCCTCGAAAGGTTTTTTACACATGGGTATGCATGAAACAGAAACAGATGAAAAGCAATGAGCTGTGGACACAGAATCACCAGTTCTGCTGAGAAGCATCCACCAGACCACGTTCGCTCTAAAGCCCCTGTGCTCTCACCTGGATGTTGTCAAACTTGAGGCCCGGCATGGTGAGGTCCTCCTTGCCCACGAACACCGTGCTGCACTGCTGGGTGGTGACTGAAATCAGCACGCTCCTCGTCGCCTCCCCGGGAATCCAGGCGTCGTTTCTCCGGTCCATCTCACTCATGCTCAGGGCGGTGGCAAAGGGGTCCTCGCTCCCGGCAAACACAGCCTGGATCTGTGAAAATGGTTTTGGAGACTGAGGAATTTCCAGAGAAGCTGTGGAAACGCCTGACTCTGATCTTTCCGTCCCTGGGGAGTAAGAAGGGTCGGCAGAACCCAGGGAGTCTTCCCCCACTGGGGTAGCGGCGAGTGATGACAAGCTTTCTGGAATCGAAGGGCTGGCGTTGGGATTACTGACAGAGATGAAGGTGGAGGTTGTGAAGGAATCAAAGAAGTCCGAGGCCAAGGAGTTAGTGCTGGTTGTATCGCCAAAAAATTTGCTCAGGCTGGGGCTCGGCTGGACCACCTGAGGAGGGGTCCTGGCGGCCGCTTCGCTTGCGCCGCTGAAACTGGGCGATTTCACCATCTGGGACTCGAAGCCATCGCGCAGGACCTGGGGCTGGGAGCCGGCAGGCAGCGGCTGGCTGAAGATGGTGCACATGGGCACCGGCTCGTCTTTGGGGGACGGCTGCCGGGGGGACAGTCCCGATGCCGGCCCCGCTGCGGGCGCCCTCACGTCCCCTGGGACCAAGTCCTCTGCACCCTCGTGCTCAAAGGGGGGCAGGTCTTTCACCTCCTCCTGCCCTGGGTCTTCCTTCAACGATGCCCCGCTGTCGGGGGTCATGTCCGAGGCGTCTTTAGGTGTGTCCTCTCGCTCACTTTCACTGTCATCACTCAGAGCGTCCAGCGCGTCTTCGTCTACGACGCTTTCCCGCCTGTGATCTGCGCCGCCTTCTGCAGGCTCCACGACATCCTGCAAACAACCCAGGTCCCCCGCGCCGTCCTCGCTGTTGTTCGGGGAATCAGAGATGAGGACACTCTCCATCATGGGCTCGTCGAGCTTGTCCACTAAGTTATTCGAGTCTTCTGACCCAAACTCATCTCCACCGAGATCAATAGTTTCCTCGTGATAGAGGAGCTGCTGCTGGTCTTCCTGGGGCCCTTGTGGAGCCGTGCTCTGGGCTGGCCCCTCGGCTGCGCCACTCTGCTCGGGCGCATGCTGCTCGGCACCTTTAGCACTCTCCATGGTCACCTGAAACAAAGACAAATACACATCAACCTCATCAGCTTATATCTCAGTTACTATTACGATGATTTTATCTTATTGAAATTGTTTTTGAATTTATAAAAATGGTGAATTCGTGTCCTTGTAATGGTGGATACGCATCATTATACACATTTGTTCAAATGCATAGAATGTACCACACCAAGAAAGAGACCTAACATAGACTGTGGACTTTGGGTGATTATGATGTGTCAACACAGGCCCATCAGTTGTAACCAGCGCACCATCTGGCGGGGATATGGATAATGTGGGAGGCTCTGCCTGTGTCGGGGCAGCAGGGAGATGAGAAGCCTTTGTACCGTCCTCTCAATTTTGCAGGGAATCTAAAACTGCTTTAAAAAATAAAAGTCTGCTAAAAATGTTTATCAGTTTATCAGCTATATATTCAAATGGTTTAAAATTCAATAGCCTCCATTTCTCCAGACATTTATTTATTTATTTTTGTGGTAAAAGACACATCATATAAAATCTACCACCGAAATCATTGCTAAGTGTATAGTTCAGTAGCATTGAGTACATTCAGTTTGTTGTGCGACCATCACCACCACCCATCTCCAGAACTCTTCTCATCCTGCAAAACTGAAAGAAATAATACAATAAACATCTCCCGCTCCCCCAGCCCCTGGCAACCACCATTCTCTTGTCTGTCTCTATGAATCTGACTATGCTAGGGAGGGACCCTAGATATGGTATTTGTGGAATGACGTGGTATTTGTCCTTTTGTGTTTGGCTTATTTCACTGAGCACAATGTCCTCAAGGTTCACCCATGTTATTGCATATGTCGGAATTTCCTTATTTTTTAAAAATGATTTATTATTATTTATTTTCTGCTGCATCAGGTCTTAGTTGCAGCGTGCAGGCTCTTCACTGCGGCGCGCGGGCTTCTCTCTAGTTGTGGCGTGTGGGTTTTCTCTCTCTAGTTGTGGCGTGCAGGCTCCAGGGTGCGTGGGCTCTGTAGTTGTGCCACGCGGGCTCTAGTTGAGGTGTGTGAGTAGTTGCAGCACGCAGGCTTAGTTGCCCCGCAGCATGTGGGATCTCAGTTCCCTGGCCAGGGGCCAAACCTACGTCCCCTGCATTGTAAGGTGGATTCTTTACCACTGGACCACCAGGGAAGTCCCAGAATTTCCTTATTTTTAAGGCCGAGTAATATCCCATTGTATGTACATACCATGTTTACCCATTTATCTGTTGATGAACACTTAGATTACTTCCATCTTTTGACTACTATGAATACTGCTGCTGTGAACATGGGTGTACAAATATCTCTTCGAGACCCTGCTTTCCACTCTTTCGGGTAAAAACCCAGAAGTGGGATTCCAGGATCATTCACGGGGCAGTTCTATTTTTAATCTTGTGAAGAACTACCCAAACTATCTTCCATTAGTTACACCATTTTACATCCCCACCAAGAGTGCATAACGGTTCCCATTTCTCCACATCCTCACTAGCACTAGCTGATTTTCTGTCTTTTTGACAGTAGCCATCCTAACGGGTGTGAGGTCTCAGCCTTTTAAACCCTACTCATTCTTTAAGATGCAGCTGAAGTTCCGCCTCTGCCCTCAAGCCTTCCCAAGACACTTCAGCCTATAGTAACAACATATACAAAAATAAACTCAAAGTAGATTAAAGACCTAAATGTAAGACTGGATACTATAAAACTCCTAGAGAAAAACACAGGCAGAACACTATTTGACATAAATCGCAGCAATAGTTTTTTGGATCTGTCTTGTAAGGCAAAGGAAAAAAAAGCAAAAATAAACAAATAACTAAACTTAAAAGTTTCCGCACAGCAAAGGAAACTTTGACAAAAGGAAGAGACAACCAACTGAATGGGAGAAAATATTTGCAAATGATATGACTGATAAGGGATTAATATCCAACATATATAAACAGTTCATACAACTCAACATCAAAAAATCAAACAACCCAATTGAAAAATGGGCAGAAGAACCAAATAGACATTTTTCCAAAGAGGAAATGCAGATGGCCAACAGGCACATGAAAAGATGCTCAACATCACTAATCATCAGAGAAATGTAAATCGGAACCACAGTGAGATACCACCTTACACCTGTCAGAATGGCCATCATCAAAAAGAACACAAAAAATGTTGGCAAGGGTGTGGAGAAAAGGGAACCCTCCTGCACTGTTGGTGGGAATATAAGTTGGTGCAGCCACTGTGGAGAACAGTATGGAGGTTTCACAAAAAATTAAAAATAGACCTACCACATGAGCCAGCAATTCTACTCCTGGGTATATATTCAAAAAAACAAAAAACACTAATTCAAAAAGATACATGTACCCCAATGTTCACTGCAGCATTATTTACAATTGCTAAGATATGGAAGCAGCCTAAGTGTCCTTCAACAGATGAATGGATAAAGAAGATGTGGTATGTATGTACGTGTGTATATACATACACACACACGTACACACAATGGAATACTACTCAGCCATAAAAAAGAACAAAAATCTTCTATTTGAAACAACATGGATGGACTTGGAGGGCATTATGCCAAGTGAAACAAGTCAGAGAATGGCAAATACTGTATGATGTCACTTATTTGTTGAATCTAAAAAATACAACGAACAAGTGAATATAACAAAAAAAGAAGCAGACTCATAGGTACATAGAACAAACTAGTGGCTACCAGCAGGGAGCGGGAGAGGCAACACAGAGGTGGGGGAGTGAGAGGTACATACCATTGGCTATGAGACAGGCTACAAGGATGTACTGCACAACACGAGGAATACAGCCAGTATTTTGTGATAACTGTAAATGGACTGTAACCTTTAAAAATTGTATAAAAAAGAGAAAAAACCAAAAAAGTAACTATACTCAGCTGGTCTCTAGATAAGATTACTTTTTTCTCTGTCAGCACTTTCATCACAGTATTCCAAATTACCTCTCTTCCCCTTTTATAGCCTGGATCACCCTGAGATCCAAAAGCAAGATTACTTTAAAGTAGGCTCAAAGTTAAACATTTTGGAGAAGTTTCTTAACCAGCATAGTCAGTTACTAATTCCCCATTTACTACACATTCACTTAATAATTATTAGCTATAAATAAGTCAAAAATACAATGAAAAGGAACGAAAGCCCCTTTACTTGTAATGTTTCACAGCTCCAATGGGAGGCTGCCTCAGGAACATCAGAGTGGACGAAACCCAACGTGTAAGGCTCTTCCCTGGTCCTCCCCAGGCAGGACACGAAGACTAAGCGTGAAGACCACGGAACAGCAATGACTTTGTTTAACCTCTGCAACAGCCAGACGAGACAGGCATCGGCTGCCCTAAAACACAGATGAGGACACTAAGAACCAGAGAAGTGATGGGACTCATCTGACCAGGAATGGAAGTAGGCCCCCCAGACTAAGCCCCTGAGGACTGAAGTACCCCCGTGCCCAGCACAGTGCCCGGGACCTGGGAGATGCCAGGAACTACTGCTGGTTAACCGGGCCCTTCTTGGAATAAAAACAGTGCAGATGACAATGCCAGATGCCCTGTTACTACGTTAACGGACACCTGTGAAAAACCGTACGCTATAAGGTCCAATACATACAATTACAGGAGAAGGTGAAGAATATCAAAACTGGCAAAATCACACAGATACCTTCTTTATATGCAGGGAAAAGTGGAGAAAAGTCTCCTCTTAAAGTAAGCAGAAGGCACTGCCAGGTTAATTCGTGTTTATTACAAGATACAGAGAAAGACAGACTGAACTGGGGGGACCCAGGAGAGACTGTGCACAGATGACCTTGAGCGGCTTCTCACCAGGCAATGCAATAAGAGAAGACTCATCACTATCGAGACCCATTCATCATGCGGACTGCATCATTACAGCAAGAAACAACTGCTTAAGCAATAATTAAAGAAACCCAGATTAGAACTATGATTTTAAAAAATTTGTCCTGTGAAATAGGCAAAGATTTTTAGAAGTGACAGTTCTGGGGAATTTTAGGGAAACTTACTTATTGCTAAGGGGAATGCAACCTTTCTGAAGAACAGCTTGGCAAGGAATAAAACTCTGACAAGCAATTCTGCTTTACCAACTCACCTAAAATTCTTGTTTTTAAAGAAATCATCTTCTGAAAGGAAGAAAGCTAAGAGGAATGCTCTTTCAAGTCAATGCTTAAGTCTGTAACTATGTTTTGATTCTCTCCAGTAACCTTGTTTCTAATCCAATCTAATTTAGAAAATCAATGTCACCTGTTTCCAAGTGACACTGTTTACATAGATGTTACCCAGCCCAGAGTAAAAATTAAATTGTTTACCTTAATTTCTGAATGGAAACTACACATTTATCAGAAACACCGCCAAAGGACTGGGCTGAGACGTCCTGCAAGTCAGGGATCATTGCTCGCCGAGCGCCACTGTGTCTCTGACACCAGCTACATTAAGGCTATATTACTGGCTCTCAAGGAGATGACAGAGAGGAAACTAAGTAACTGTGACACACATGCCGCTCTGGCCCCAGGAAAGAGGGCTGTCTATGGAACGGGACAGCGGTGAAAGCCCCGTCTCAGCTTTCTGACTCCTTTCGCCGGAATACCTTAGAAGGTTCTTGCTCCTTTCCCTGACTCTTCTGAAGGCCCCTTTTCTATAAACAACTTTTATTAAACTGGAGTGGATACAAGGTTTATAACACCTACTTCCCCTCCTTTTCTGGACTAATATTCTGAGATTTGTCACACCCTTGTTTTTCCTTAATTTTCCATGTTTGTTTCCTCAGACATGTTAGATTTCTCAGTTTTTTCCTTAGTTTCACCTTCCACTTTTAACCTGAGACCTAACCCTGTAAGTGGCGTGAAGCTGTGATTCACTCATCTTTGCTGACGATGCTCTATTGCGTGATGGTTCCACAGCCTAATATCTATTCTTCTGTTGATGGATATTTGAGGTGTTAGGTTTGTGCATCTACAGACAGTGCTGTTATGAATATTCTTGTACATGTCTCCTGC